AAGAACCTGACAGAGGATGCGGATCACTGCTGTGCATAACAAAAGACGCATGTCTTTGTTTATGGCCACCGACTGTCCATCAGCCTTGGATTTGTACGTCCCTCTTCCTTCAGACGTTCAACATACCAGTTGAGCTTCGTTTGTTGAACATCACAGCAACCAAACATTACCATGTGCGATGGAAATATTGCGACGCGGCAGCACCATTTCTCATTGATCGATCAGCACGAGCCGACACCGTCGTGCCAAACGAACCTCTGTGATTCTGCTGTGTATGTACTTCGCCGTGCTGTGACCACCCCTGAATGAAATACGTGCGTCGCGCTTTTGCACAAACGGTCGGTATGATGTCATAGCCATGATGTACACGTTGACAAACTTTGCAGCTGCAGGCAAACGGCATGCCCGTAGCGTTGCACGGAGAGGGGTGCCTCGGGCGCATTTCATGCGTACGACTTTGCCAATAGGAGCCAAAATAAGTATGACGGGGTACACCCCTGCGATGGATTGTTGGGACTTTCTCTAATGTTTTCTATAGACTCACAGGATGGTCGTCGTGACGTGATACATTTCTTGTTATTAGTATGGACAAAAATTAAAAAAAATNGGAATCCCTTCATGCCGAGGGGCATAGGTTGTCATTCGGCCTTTTCATTTTTTGTATGCATTTTTCTTCTCGTGAAGTTTTGCCGTTGCGATTGCCATCGTCGCTTATTTAGGTGCTTGTGTCTTCAAACCTTCTTATAGCCGGCCTTCAAAATTCTTGTCGAGAAGTCTCTCCGTGTTAACTTCTCCGCGCATGAGTTATATGCAGTCGTGACCTGCGCTCAAACTTTCACGATGGGTATTTTACCTCCCCGTCTTGCATTGGTGAGTACCTGCGTTATAAGGAAGGATTGCGTTAAAGTACGTATTTTTCCCCCTCGCGTTTCCTTCCCCTACTATCCTTCTTTGCGTACCATATGTACGTCTGTCATTGATCGTCGTCGGCCTCCTCGATACTTGTGGATTACCTGTTGCAATTCTGGGAATCCATACATTCCGAGAGATGAGCCATAGGGCGGCATCCGGCCTTTTCTTTTTTTGTATGCATTTTACCTCTCGTGAAGTTTTGCCGTTGCGATCGCCATCGTCGCTCAAGTGTTTGTGTCTTCAAACCTTCTTAGCCGGCCTTCAAACCTCTTGTTGATCAGTCTCCGTGTTGACTTCTCCGCGCATGAGTCACATGCAGTTATACCCTGTGCTTTGACTTTCACCATGGGTATTTTACCTCCCCGTCTTGCATTGGTGAGTACCTGCGTTATAAGGATCGTTCCACGACGCAAACGTCGACGTCTCCGTTTTATTTTTTTTCCCTTCACACTTCTTCCTTGCGGTGGATTTTCACCCCCCGACTTCGAACGTGGGGAGAAATTTCCTCTCGGCGTACCTTCCTCGTCGGCCTTCTCCATCGTTGTGTACCTAATGTATACCTCCATTTTTCGGCTTTTCGATTACCAATAGACAAGACTACGGAGTGGCATGTCCCTTTCATCCCCGACGGGACCGCGCGCTCGTCGAGTGCGGGAATTCTTCACCACTTCCTTGCCTCTCCCAACACCGTCCCTTCTTCCCGCCCCTACAAGTCCTCTCCTCTTCTTCTTCTTCTTTCCTTCCTCCCGGACACTCACCACCATCCGTCCCTGATGTTGGCCCCCAGCCCCATTGGGGGGCGGGGGG